CAAATGGTCTACCAGTCCACGGACCAGAAGAACAAAAACTCACTCCTTCTGTGTTCTTGAGTTGTGCGCTGACCAGAATAGGAAGCTCCTAGACACAGTAGATAATGGATAGATCTACCTTGACACACCAGCGCTTACTAGTCTCACATAACCTCATCGTTTTAACTGGGGTTAACAAACATAAACAGTTTGCCAGAAACGCAGGTATTCCTGTCGATGTTCTTCTGTCTGTTTCCACATCGCTTCCGTTGCAACACCCCATTGCCTCATCGCTTGCTGTTGATGCATCGACGTATGGGGTGGCAATGCGATCTCGGACTGAGCGATTGCCCACCTGGAAAGCCACCAAAATTGCAGGAAAGGTCATAGGCAATCGATGAAAGTTTTATATTAACATTCAACTCGATTTTGACAAAATTCAACATCGACCATTGATTTCATAGTACCAACATCTACCACCAAGCAGCTCCTACATACGGCTGAGAATGGTTGAAACGGCAGACAGCATGCGCCATTTGAGGAAATGAGTGCACGAGCCAGGTTCCTATATACAAAAAGCATCCAAACGCATCTATGGCCATTGAGCAATTAAAACTATTGTATTGGGATCGTTAACTCATTAGAACAAGTATGAACGATGTGGCTTTAATCGTAAGTACTCAGTGGATTTCTAGTTGAAGTTCTGCAGCTTGAAATGTGTGACAAGCATCAAACAGCATCAGTTCTTGTATCTGGAACTGTTAGTGGAACTTGTGGTGACGTGAGTGTGGTCACGGAGTCAGAAAACTGCACTGATGCCTCGCCAGGCGCTTGGCTGATATAGCTTGAGGGTGGACAAAATGTTGGACGTAGGCGTGTGAGAGCGGTGAGGGTGAGGAGCGGAAGATGTAAAGAAGGAGAGGAAAGAGCACAGCGAGGGTAGAGGAAATGATTGGAGGAGGCGGAGGTCGTGAGGTTAAGGGGGACAGGGTAGAGAAGTTCGGAGGAAGTGACAGAACTGGCAGCAATTGGGAAGAGTTGAATAATCTGAACCCTTGCGTAAACTGCCAGCAGTGGATGGTCCTCAGGACTCACCACAATGAAAGGACATTTCTCTTATCTGCCGCCGGTTTGTCAGGTCACATCGTCAACAAAGAGAACAAATTCAATCCAGAAACTTCAGAAAATTCAGAATTATGTTTGTCTGCTAATTGTTCCCAACTCAACTTCACTGAACATGTCTGGTATTGATGCCCAAGGATGCTTGGGACATTTCAGGGCAATGCCAAAGGGTCAATTCGGTCGAGATTCTTTCACCAAATGGTGCGTGGCACGGTGAAGGCTCAAGTTCCAATACAGACCCTCCGAGTATACGTACAAAAGTACAAATTCCATGAAAACAGATGATTACAAGCCAACCAGACCAGGATTTATTGAGGCATATGATTGGACACGTCAGCAAACATGTCTAGCTCCCAAAGGACAGGCCGCCCATAGTACTTGCGGTGCACGCCGTTGTAACGGTGGCAAATCAGCGAGTAAGCCTCAGAGTATCTCCAAGTATCACAGCCGCGTGGTTATTCAGCATCTAGCGATCCCATTCGTGATGCAAACAAGAAGTGTTGCTGAGTTCTGCGAAGCCCCAGCTTGACATGGCCCTGGTGCGTCACTCCATGGGTGTCCACACCAAACACTGTTCTGCGGGCGTCAAACTCCCTTCATCAGGGCATAAGCCGCACGAACAAACAGGAAACAGCGCTCATAATTTCGATGTTTGAGGATCTGGCAGCAAGGCAATGGCAATCCTCACTGCCTCATGCTCTGGCACCAACGCTGCATTGATCCGGGGCGGATTCAGTACTGATCGCAATGAGCAACCAGGGTTGTATCCTTTGAGACCGATAACAGCCACCCCTACCACTGCCACAACTACCACCACTATCAACCTGCCTCCTTGGAATTCAAGTCTGCGATCTCCTGCGCTTTGTGAGACCCCAACAAAAGGCAAAGAAAACAGCAATGTGAACGGCGCTGAGAACAGTATCTGAGGGAATTGAAAGGACAATTGAATCAACTACCATTCGGCAGTCAAACCGAAACATGGACTTAGCCAGCAGATGTGTTGATAAAATTCTAGCCTGTCACTGAATTTCATCAAATCTCGTGGTAAAGCCCAAAGCACAAAGCGAAAGGCTTTGCGACATGAGTCCCAATGATGTTTGGAGCTCTGTGATATTTCTGAATAGTCTCTGATATGTCCAGTGTCTCTTGCACTAGGAGTGGTGCCTTGGTGTCATGGCTCGCTCTCTGGGTGAAAAGGCTTGCAGCCTCACTGCAAAGAGTCAATTCGACGAGTAGTATCAAGGTCGTTGGCAACACCAAAAATAGTTTGGAATTCTGCCGCCATCGAAGTCCCTCTGCAAGGTACCAGACCTCAAAAGCACGGTCAATCTCAGCAGCGGATTCACTCCCTTAGTTCGCCGCTTCAGTCACGTGCACCAGAAACAAATACTCCATCTAAGATTTGAATGTCTCATCTGGATGGATATATTGCTAGCCAAATTACTTCAAGTCTCATGGCTGCCAGGCCACTGTTTGGTTCTAATAATTCAACGCTCTTGCGCATTGTGCCTGCATACTGAAGGCGTGGGCTTGGAACATTTTGACACTTTTAAAGACTCTGAGGTGAGCCTGTTCAAGGAAAAATCAGGATTTGATTGCCTTCGTCTTCCGCTGCAGCGCTGCATTTAGCAAAAACATCCTATGCATATAGCTCTGCTAGGTAGGGCGCCATTTTTTCGCGCATGCGCGGCTGTGGTTGGGCTGCAGGGCCACTGGGGGGAGCGTTTTGGAGGTACATTTTTGGATGCTTTTTCGTTGCGTCGTGCTTGCAGGGCCACTGGGGAGATCGTTTTGGAGGAGTTTTTGTGTTTTGGTGTGGTTGCTGCGTTGATTCTTGCTCAGCTGCAGGGCCACTGGGGACAGCGTTTTGGAGGTGCATTTTTGGATGGCTTTTGGCAAGGCCGAAGTTGTATCACCATTATGGGTACTAGGAGCAAGGACGCTGCTAGGCCGTACTACTAGGAGCAATGTTAGCTACTAGTAACAGACTCGCTACAAAACATTAAAAACACTCGGAGTCCAATAAAGCGCCCTTTCTGCCTCGTTCTAGTACAATCCCTGCGCCTGCACAAATGGTGTCTACTGAATCCCAAAGGGATCACTTTGGCGTCGTTGAATCCAACCAACAGGAGCTGTTTAGAGCAAGAGAAGGGGAAGTAGCTAGAAGCTACTAGTAGCAAGGGCCTCACTAGTATAGTAAGAAGGATGAGAAAGGATGAATCATTCCGATTTGAGGACTCCCAAGGTCATGATGGTGAACCGGAGACAACATGTCACGATGCCCTATGAGTTGTACATAGAGAGCCCGTATCTTTTGTGGCTTTGACAGAGGGCCTCGCTTCCTCACACTTGCATATTCATCTTGCGTGGTTCAGATATTCATTGGCGCTCACTCTCAAGGAGAAGTCCTTCTCACAATTTGAGGCCCTGTTGGTCAGCTGGCCTGTAGCTCTCTGGGAAACGACTCACAGCTGCTGATTTGGCTGATTTGTGACATCAGAGAAGAACCGCGGTAAATCTCAGAATCAAGTGACCCATGCAACGAATCTCCGCCAACGCTTCTTACTCTTCAGTCTTGGGGGCAAGCCGGCATTCCAGTCGCCGTGCCAACTCAAGTCCTAGCTGACCCCGCCGTTGTAGGTTGTTTTCGCACCCTTGCAAGAAGCTGAAACCTGAAGCGCGCTCCCAAGTAATTAAGAGTACAGTTATGCAACGCATTAAAGTCTGTTTGCAATCAACATTGAGCCTAGGGTCTAAGGATGTTTAAGGCAACAATCTTGTGTGACCCCATCGACTGTCCGACTGCCACGTTTGGTATGATCCCGTCCATGAGCTTGACCACCATGGGGGGCAACCTGCTAAAGGAGATTCACAGCCCAAAAGAACCACTGTTCGGGTCTTCCAGCATAGTCCTCTCAACTATGTGCAACTCAGTCCAAGTCAATTCCCCTGACCGGTGAACTAGATAGACAAGAAACCACAGGAGCTTGACAAACCCTGACAGAGCAACCTCTCCGGTTTTAAGACCTTCAAACCGACGTGGCAAAGCAAAAGCAGAAGCTGCCATAAAGACTCAAAAAACCAGATGCGCCGGGAAACTAGTGGCGGCCACTGAACATCAGAGTATAAAGTTTTACGTCTCTGAACATGTTACATCATGCCTGCGGTCCACAGCGGCTTCATCAAGAGCTCAGCCCCGTGCACCAAGACCACCTGCCAGTACATGGAGAGGAATCTGAACCAGGAGACGTGGGTTGGAAAAGGCTTTGCAGTCAAAAGGCTGGCTTGTGAAGACCAAAGCAAGGCACTGTGTCCTTAGGCTGTCTGTTTATGGCACGATGATCCACATCAATCCATATCCCGTTCTGTTCGGATCGGCTGTTGCCTGCTCCAAGCGCTTCCAAGAAGGTCGACAGCTTGGGGACCTCCGTCGTCTTGACGGGCTGCCAATTACAACACTTTCGTGGTCTGATACCCTTGTAGCCCTTGTAGAACCCTTCCGGAAGGACATGAAACGCAATATACTTCGAGAAACTCGCTGAGTTGAAAGGAAATGGTTCTTACTTCCAATGAAAGCGAACCCACATGCTATTGACATTGAAAGCATCAATGAAGCTTGGTAAATATGATTCATGATGATTCATGCATATTCATGTTCTTCCTTTCAGCCACGGTTCGTAGCCACAACTATTCTTGCAGGCCTCCGCTTCGGCCTTGCGGTCCCAGAGCACTGTGACAACGAAAGCAGCGGCCTGAGAAAAGGAGACAGCTTAATGACGGGGGTGTGCTCCGAGTGCTCTGTTGAGTGTATTTCAATGATTATTCAACTAATTGTTCATTTACTTAGTAACAAAGGGCATCGCTACTAGTAACAAGTGCATTGCTAGTATTCTTCATCCGATGGCCTCTTTGCCCACCTTGCAGCTTAGTCCACCGATGTTCAGGTCCCAAGGCCCTTCGCCTGTCGGTCGAATCGAACAAGTGGCGGTTGCGCACTCGGCTCTGCGCCATTCGGCTTCTGTCGTTCCTAGTAGCGATGCCAGGAGCCCCTAGTAGCTTCCTTGCTCCTAGTAAGAACCGTAAGAACCAAGCCTTCCAAAGGATTCTCATGGCCCACAATACCTTGAAAGGCACGGGCAAGCAACCACGATTGTCCGAAACCACACGTTTTCGATCTTTTTCCTCAAATCAGTTTTACCTGTGGCAATTTCTGTCTCCGGTTGTCTCCGGCTCTCTTCGGGTGGTCGTGGTCTTCGGGTGGTGGGTTGCTTGGGTCGTGGTGTCTCTGGTTGTACTTGGCCGTCTCCATTCAAGAAGCACAAGGAACCAAATAGCAATGGCCTCCAACCGAGTAGCGCTGGCCTCCAACCTACTAGTGATCGTCACTTTTAAGCCTTGAGATGGCTTCACAAAGAGAGCAGCGGTGGCCACAAGCAGCACAGCTGTTTGAAGGGTGAGTTTCTTCCGTGGTGTCTTTTTCCGTTTGGGGTCTACGCTGGAATAATTAAGGTCTCTCTTATTTTAAGCAGCATTCCTTTACTAGTAGTACAGAGTAGTGAATGTCTACCTCGTATTCGGGTAGTTGACCAATCCGATCCATTTTGTCTACGTTCTGGGCTTTTGGGAAGTACAAGCAACTGCCAGGACATCTCTATTCCTTCCCTGTTTGCCCCAAACCTTGAGGGAAGCTGAAACAAGAAAGACTTAAGCAACACCTTCAAAATCACGAAACTGTCCAGTCTTTACTCATGCATACTGCATACTCTGTTCCGTTGAGATTGTCCCACTTCGTAAGAGACTTAAATACATGTACCTGTAGCTTGATCTTTCAATATTCTTTTAGTTTTGAGATGCTTGCTTACTCACACAGTGAGGGTATACGGTAGCGTAGCTTTCAGTTGAGTCACTCAAAGCTTCTTGAAGATCGTTTGCTGAAAGTGTACATCTGTGGCTGAATCGCACTCTGTGAGCCTCAAAGCATCGAATGGATAGAAAACATTGGACGCGGACAAGGAGATGTCAGTGTGAAATTGACCTCTTGAGGTCTGCCTTCCTAGGCTTCAACACTACTCCAGCACAAATGGCCTGCGTCACATGTCAGAGTGACACGCCTTGAGGCCGCACTGCGCCAGGCCCTCCTCCGAGCGCGGGTGAAGCTCATAGAGATCGCCTAGGTGGATGAGTTCTGCAAGCCGGCCGGTCTGTCACTACGTCTCGCCATTTTGGGGAACCGTCTGGGAGAACAAGCGGTGGAAGAGTCCGAACACCGCCCACCGTATTGATCGCGACAAGCATCACACTTACACCGGGATCTGTGTGCAAAGCCCGGCTTCTTTCACAACTCCAAACTCCAATCAATCTAAATTCTACGCATCAAAAGAAGCAATTGTCCCATCCAAGCGGTGGTTCAACGTTCCATGCCGTTGATCAGTTTCGGGGCTCGTGAACTACTGAACCAACCCAACCACCAACAACGAACACTTTTACCAGAGAGGCTGTATCTGGCAGTCATGTGGTCACCCTTTGCTTGTAATTGACCACTGCGACTTGGGGACGTAAAGGATGGGAGGAGCAAGTTGGAGGCCATAGCTGGTAGATTAGAGGCCGTCGCCATTAGGTTCCTTAAGCTTTCCTTAAATAAGCTAGTAGAAACAAGTGCCACGCTACTAGGAACAGGTGCCTTACTAGTAGAAACAATGTTGCTATTAGAAGCTTTCCTTCAAGTTTCATCAGTCTCGTCCGAGCGTCGCCCGCGCTTCCGCGCCAGGGCCGAGAAGGTCGCCGCTGGGGGTGCTGAGCCGTGCATCACTGGCAAGGAACTCAACACCTTGCAGTCTCAACAGCACTTCATGACACTTCCTTAGCTAGACAAGTCTATCATGGAACTAAATCTCTTCAAACAAACTTTGAGTATTGCAAATCTAAATGTTTCAAGTAGTTCACCATTGAAAAGAAATGCAAACAACTTGTTGGCAAATGTTCTCTCAAGGTAACTCATACGGTTAGTCCGCTCAGTGGTGCGGCACTCAGCTGGGCGAAAGCACCGGTGGAGCTTCAACCACCTGAGCCTCCAAGAGAAGAGCAGGACTGGCTAAGACCTGGCCGCCACAGGAACAAGTTGGATGGAGAGTTTCGTTTCGATCGGTTCTGTATTGACCGTGCGCCACCATCTGGGGTTGTGATCATGCCCTCAACATACGACACGAGCTCTGCAGAACTTGGGTTACAACATCGCCTATAACTGCCAACATGCACTTTAGGAAGGCTTTCCGAAATCTGAACGTGTCCAACAGGCCAGAATGGAATGAGGCCTCTGATCTCAACACACCTTGAAAGTATTGAACATATTGAGAAGCAATTTACGTATGTGTATGTTGATAAATCAGCCCAAGCGTATCGTGAACGTCTGTATTTTCTAAGACTCCTTTTACCTCCAAATGCGCCTGCAATGAGTCAGCTGCCACTAGCTCAACTGTCTCGCCTACACCAGGGCTATAACCTCAGAATGGGAGCTCTCAAATACAAATGCAAATCACAGTTAAGCCCCGCAAACACAAACTCCCTTGGTATGCCGTTCTGTGTCTGTGAGGTCCCCGGCACGGTAGCTTTAGCCGTCTAGTGACGATGGGCTGAAAGCTCTTCATCAACGGCTCAGCCCCGTGCACCAAGACCACCTGCCAGTACAAGAGGAATCTGAACCAGGAGACGTGGGTTGGAATGGTTGGAGACTGCTTTCACGTAGCAAGCGGGTGAAATAGCCGGCACATGGCGGCACAGCGGCACGCAAATAAATAGATATGCAAAACATTGCAAAAGGGATGGAAGCATACAGGTCAAGATGAATTCAACTTAGAATCATGTCTCATATAGAAGCAGCCATTCAAACGGTGTCAGGGTGTATCAAATCAGGGCGGTCCTTGAGCCTTAGGCTGCCTGTTTGTGGCACCATGAAACACATCAATCCATATCATATCCATGAGGACCATTGCAAATGTGCAAAGAACTTGAGTGATGTCGTGGTTTTACGGAAACCAATGAAGCACAAAACCCCTACATGTTGCCATCCCCCTCGACCCGCCTGCTGCGGTGATGTTTGAGCGATGAGCTCCAGGATTCCCCGAGAATCCGTGTGATCTGAATGTGAAACCGTCTCCACCTAGTGCAAGTGGCACACGGAGAGCTGCGCGTCTCTGCGAAAACCCACAGCTTCGATCCCATGTCCCGCCTCGCATTTCACGCGGATGATCTCTTCGTCGAGCTCGATTTGCTTGCTTTTGGCCTCCGCTGGTTCGCAATCAAAGGACCATTTGCGAAAGACAGAGCGCCTGCACCAGATTCCCCACAGTGCCAGGCAAACAGTATCCTGGGATGACCTTGGGAGGACAAAGATCAAAACGGAATGCGAACCGCAGAACCGAGCATCCTGGCCACCAGATTCTTGCTGTCTGGAGCCAGCGACTTGAAGATTTGCAAGGATGACCCTGTTCGGCAGCAACCGAACACATACCAAACATGGCAACGAGGCGCTGATCGCAGATACCAAAACTCTTGCCCTCAGATCTCGGGATTTGTCCAACTCATGCCAGCTGATTCATACTGATTCAATGATTTCAATGGTCCGTGACCGCTTCACCTGCATCCAACATCGCAGGTCCAGCCAAGACCACAGCTGGAGTAGGCCTCGAGTAGCGACACAATCACAATCACTTGAAGCGCTTCTTTCTCAACGTCGTGAGCTTCCCCCTCCTAGCGATGGCCTACAACCTACTACTAGCTTCTTGTTACTACTAGTAAGGCACCTGTTACTACTAGCGTGGCACTTGTTACTACTAGCTTCTTGTTACTACTAGCGATGGCCTCCATTTCCTCAGGTCGGATCATTGCCAAAACTTCCTCAACATCTGCAACTCGCACATGCGGGAACTCGAAGGGCTTCTCGGACGATCGAACCTCCCCGCCGCAAGGAGCATTATTGAACGGAATGCCAGCATGATCATTGGTCAACACTGTTAGTCCAAGCAAGAAGCACTCATATCCAGCTAGTTGTCTTGGCCAAGCCAATGAACACCACATCACCTACACCTGGTGGGTTGGGAGTCGCTTTTCCACCAGTTGGCGCTAAAATGTGCCAAGTGCAAACAGCACTCCAAACAGCCTTGCGACTGCCCCAGGAGGCAAACAGCTGGAAGAGGGCTCCAGCCTATGCACATACGGACATATGGACTCACAGCAAACGAGCTGCCATACGGACTCACCTCAAACCGTACGCGAAGTGCTTTGAGGCACGGACCTGTTCGGAGTATCCACGGATCACCTTGGAAGTCGAAGGAACTCCCCATGCCGCTCACTCAGCTACGAGACAAACGGTCGTAGTCTGTCTTTCAAAGCCTGCTCCTACTTCATTGAGTAGGCACCTACTTCATCAAGTAAGGGCTAACAAAAACATACAAAAACTACTAGGTAACCTGCTACTATCGACGCAGAATATCTCACGCTTCTAGTATTCTAGTGATTTGGTTCTCAGATTTGGAAACTGAACTCCCAAAACCGTGTCGGTCACGTCGCTCACGGGTGGCTTCGCTTTGCTGCCGAAGGTCAATGATGGGATAAGCCAGCTGCGCCCGAGCCCAATGCTCTTCGAAGATCATGCCTCAAGTGATCAGAGGAGTGAGATAGTGTGAGATATCGGATAATCCTTGAAGTCCGGGATGTGTGCCTCAAAGCTTTCAAAAACTTCGGAAGATGTCAACTTCCCAAAAGAAACACCCAAAAAGGCTTGTGCGTGTGTTTGACCATCAAAGCTTCGCATATTAACTTTAAAAGCCATTTGGATCAACCTTCCTATGAAACCGAGGCTCCTGCATATCTCTTGGCTGCGTCCCATCATCAGTAATGGCACCAGCACCTTGCAAATCACATTTCTGGACGCGAAGAGCAAAGTTCGGCCACAAGTCTTCAGTACTCTTGAACCTTGGAAGACGAGCGCAACCCACTAACGAAGAAAAAGCAGAAAAACCCACAAGTGCAGTGCTTAGGTTCCCCCCTGATCTGTCGAGATCACGTAGTTTAGACTCGGTCCTTCGCACAACTCGTTCATAGAAACGGTACTCGTAGACTCGTAGACCAGACTTTCTCGTTCATGTTGACGTTTGAAATCTAGTTCTGCTTCGACCCAATAATCCTAATAGCGACGGCCTCCAACCTAAGAGCGTCTTTGTCTTGGTATCTCCAAGAGGTTTGAGAGGGAGTCGGGATTCTAATTATTGATGGCTCTACCTTTGGACGCCGTGCCTTGCCACCCTTCTCGAGGCACTCTTGGACCTGAATGACCCCAATGGCTGGAAAGAGTGCTGAAGGCACCGCACCAAGGGTGGGTCGGTGGTTCTGTCAGTTGGGCAAAAGTGAGCTGAACACCTGTGTTGTACAGGGTAATATGCATGTAAGTATGCATGTAAATACGCCATCCAACTGGTGTGAACGAACGTTATAAGCCGATCATGACACCCCATCCACACCTGGCCTTGCAGCAAAGCTCGTACTCTTTCATTCGCTTGGAGCTTCGGACTGTGGTGCAACACCTCGGCCACAGGTATCGAAAAAGACGCCACGATTACGAAGACTGGTAGCCCTTGTTACTAGTAGCATCTAGTAGCGATGCCATGCGATGCTCTTGTTACTAGCAGCGATGCACTTGTTTCTAGTAGCTTTGTCGAAGACTTTACTGAATTTGCAGAGCTGGAAGGAACAGGAACAGGCTGGTTGGAGTTCTGAAGTTCGATTATGTTTTTACGAAGGGACACAGCTCTCAGCTGTTGTGACTGATAGGTGAGTCATCGTGAGTGTCAACATACAAAGAAACATCTACTCGGGCATCATCCGGTGCTTGAAGCAATGAACTCCAATTGGCAAACGTGTTTTGCCTTTTCCCCCAACCTAGGAATGGGTGAGATGGAACTTCGTTTCAAGTTTACTCGATCTCTGGGAGGTGAACGTCTGCGATGGTTTTATCTTTCGCAAGTGACTGAAGACACCGCGAGTCTCGCCGACGTCTGCTCGAACACTCCGCTCTGAGTGGCACCACGTCGTCTCAGTGATCATCACGTCGGGGCGCAAGCCCAAGGGAACACGGGCGGCGCTCAGGTGATGGTCTGGCCTTGGCTCCACTCTTCACCGCTCTTGCCCTTGAAAGTGACACATGACACATCCAAATTGAAGAAGTAAGGGCAGTAAGGAGCTTTGCAAGGCTTTTCTAAAGCGAATTGGCAACTGGTACGGAGTCAATCGCAAACGCGCATCTACGATCCCCAAGCCAGGGTGTCGCACACTGTGGTGAAATCGCCGGTGTAAAGCGCACTGAGCCTCGATTGCCATCCTGCTTCTACTGTCTTGAGGAATTCGCTTTGGTGGAAGTTTTCTGTCGAGAATAAGAGTTCTAAACCAAATAGCGATGGCCTCCAACCTGCTAGACATAGAGGGTCTGCTTGGGTCTTCCGGCTCAGCTCAGCGTCGAGCGCTGCACTGGCGGACCAAGCATGGAAACCGTCCAGCGTCGCTCTCAGGTCGAGACCCACCCGCTTCGACCAAGAACATCACTGCACCAAGCCTCAGGCTTCGAAGACGAGAGTTGCTTACTGCACTAGGCACTACTTTGCACCTTTGAACCATCAACTCATCTTTTAACTTCTCAGCCGTTTAGATCCTTGGAAGAGAAATGGAAGACTTGGCTCGACCGACAAACGCACCCACACTGCAGACTCTGCAGTTCAAGGCAACGGACACATGTCCGGCGTAGTATGCTGTCACGGTGAGGTTCTCTTTGACCACGACTCGTTCCTTCAAGGGTTTTTCTAGGCGTCTCTTTTTTCGAGGAAACAATTAGGACTGCCTGTAAGAAAAATATTTATTCACCCGAAACAACAACTAACTATATAGAATTATCACCGTTTATCAACCATTTTAGCACAACTGTAACTGTGATCTGTGCTCACATCTTCTGGCTCCTGCAGCTGAACACACTTGGCACGCTCAAAACAAGGATTGATCATCTCCGTCTTGTACCGGGCATCCTGCACGCCAATCGTCCAAACAGCACAGCCGGGCTTCCCACAATTGAAAGCCTCACTATGCCTCACTTATCTCTTTTGACAGGTGCCATCTATCTCCTTCACACACCCTCCGGAAGCTGCGTTTCTGTGTCAAGATTGCCAATCCGGAGATGAAACCACGCCAAATGCAGGAAGGCCAACGGTTTACCATAGTTTACCTAGTGGATTGGTCCCTGACAGAAAGACGCAAGATTTCTACGGCAGCAAATGCAAATCAACGCATTCATTGCAAGTCTCGCAACTCAGTGTTTTAAAAAGTATCTCGTGCAAAATGTGTACCGCTCTCAGCTATCCCTGAGCTATGACATTCTGAGTCCTCTTTTTTTTGCGGCCTGTCAAAAGAACAAGCTTGCAGCTTGCTTGCACTCAAAGAGCCATGCATGCCAGCACAGAAATGGCAAAGGAACACTATGTAGTCTGCATGAGTCCAGTCGTCAATCCTCCCTTCTGCGCCCGCTCTGGGGCGTTCGCCTGAAGCGAAGGAAATCCCTGAGGATGAGGGGTGCAATGGCGCGGGTGGGATGCGTCATCAGCAGCGGCCTTGGAGTTGCACAGCTTGACTATGCTGTTCCCTTAGTCCCTTAGTCATATGTTGGTGGAAGTACCTAAATGTTTAAAGGTGTCATGCATTGTGGAATTTGAGGTGTCATAGCTACACACACAGTTAATAGAGCTTCTGAAGAAATGGGAACTGGAGGTTGAGAAAGCTGTCCCATGTGCTTGAAAACACGCCATGTCCTTAGCTCTACTAGGAGCAAGGGCATCGCTACTAGAGGCTCCTGGCCTTACTATTGCCATTGCTTGTCAACTCCGAGGACCCAACCCACGGTAGCCAAGCACCTCAGTCAAGTAGGGCCTGAGAGCGGAAGACACGGGTAGATGTCAGTCCTTCGGAGAGTCTGGGAACCAAAGAAGAGGGTGAATGGTTGGTCTGAGAACCAAACAAGGCTCCTGCGTGGTCCTTCCAGAGCTGCCGAAAACGGTGTGAACATGTCTGCAGTCTTGAGATGTCGTGGACTCCTTCACACTGACACTCTACGACTCTACTTACCCTCTACCACTCAGTGAAGAAATCACCAAATCCAAATCCCCACCAGGTGGAAGTGAGTGAGAAGCACCAGGTCCAGCTTCGCAACGTCCTCGGACCGTTCGAGTGATTCGAAACATGTGGACACCAAGGATCGAGAAGACTCGAGAAGACTCGAGAAGATCGAGAAGACTCGAGAAGACTCGAATCTCAACCGATGCGATTGGATCAGAAGCGATTGGAGAGCCCCTAGTAGCTACTTGCTACGTTCGTAGCGTCCAACAGCTCCTAGTAGTAAGGCCAGGAGCCCCGTTCGTAGCGTCCAACAGCTCGTCGTATTTGATCCCAGCGTCAAGATCTTTGAACTCTGGATATCGCCGCTCCTCGGGCCTTGGTTCGGCTTCGCCTCTACGCCTCTTCATCCGAACAAGACGCTACTAGGGGCTCCTGGCATTGCTACTAGGAGCAAGGACGCTACTAGGAACAAGAAGCTACTAGTAACAAAGGACATCGCTACGAACGGAGCAAGGACGCCCGAAAAAACTGAAGTCAGAACTACCAGCGGGGAGGTGGAATGCAAGATGAGCAAAAGACCTGAGACCCCCACACTGCAACTGCCACGCCACAATCCAAGAGGACGCGAAAACCTCCAACAGAGTCGCATGATTGAAAGAATGCAACAAGAACTGAAATTCATGAGCTCAAGATGTGTTATCATCGAAAGAATCTAGAATCTGCTGGATTCTAGCTAGCATCTTGTCGTCCTCCATTTCTCACACTCGGTAGGCATTAGAGGTATTTCGCTGCGCCTGCAATCTCTAAGAGTATGCAGCTTCTACCTCAGTTCGCAGCAGTGGAGGACGAATTCGGCAGCTTACTTGCCTTGCATCGAGATCGAGTCGTTGAGGCCCAAGCCAACGTGCTTCCCAGCTCCCAAAGGTGTCACTCGAAGCATGTTGGAAAATCTCACCTGAACTGTGTGAGCCGGTCGAACTTGAGGTAATTACTTTAGTTTAGATGAAACATCGAACTTCCTCAAGAAAGTGCCTGGACTGAAGGGACGTCTTGCACAATGATATCTTTTGAACAGTTCAAGAGAGGCGACTGTGGCGACTTTGCGGAGAACTGGTTTCAAGACGTACTCATCTGCCCCGCCTTCACCGCAAACTTTGTGGCCGCAAGTGAATATCAACTCCACATGGGGCTTTGGAACCAGCTGGTCATGTCGACTTACGATTTCAGCTTGCAGGCCTATTTCTGTAAATGCTGAACCAACCATCCAAGTACAACTTGTAGCCATGCATAGCCATGCAATAGAGTCATGGAGCAAGTTGCTGGTTCTGATTTTTGGAGCTGAGATGCAAAGAAACATTCCCTAACAACGGCTTCAACCAAGACGATGTGGCATTGCCCTTGAAGAGTTGTGGCGGTGTCTTGAAGACTGCAAAGCACTTGCTTTTATCAGGAGCAAGGTCTCATAACTGAGCTGCCTGGGTCACCCCCAAAGATGGTGGTACATGCAAGTTCCAAAAAGCCTCGATCTGACAGTCAATTCATTCTCAGATACCATGTTCTGGCTTGTCTTCATGTTCCGCTTGCACTCTGCTCTCCAAACTCCCGTTAAAAAAGGCCACGTTCAAGCAGCCCTGAATCAGAAGAAATGCACCGAATTAGAAGCTCTTGTGGCCAAGGCAGCCGGATTCAACTCTGCCGGAATTGCCTGTAAAGTATAAAAAATGTCGACTAAAATTGAGACACACCGCCTCCCGAAAGCAAAGTTGGGGAGCCCTCCCTCACTTCGGCAGCACGAGTGGGAGTGTCCCAGTCAAAATCAGATTTTGCCACACCAAGCCACGGAAAGTTGGGTCCATGACATTCAGGACCTTGTGTCCCGAAGGCTCGAGCTGCCCCCCTTGGGAATGGGTGATGTTTTGTTCTCTTCCTCTTGTTTGCTCGTGTTTTCTTTTTGAAAGTAAAGGCCTCTGTTTTTTCTACTTTCTGCTTCTTGATCGTCCTCCCAGAGGGGCGTGACCACCGGTGTCTTTGAGACATGTTTGAGGCTTGGGTGTTGGCTCTATGCACAGCGCTGTGATGGACCGCGCAAACGCAGCAATTTGCATGCTTCAAACGGAACGTCAGCGCAAGAACTAATTATCTGGGCAGCCAGCCGCCCAGCAACGCATCTCATCGCCGCTTTAGTGCATCACTGCAGGCAGCATCCTGCTGGGTTCAGGTTCCTGGTCTGGATCTGGATTCCTTCTGTTGAGGAAGATGTATACTCGCCAGACCTCACGGGCTCAACCCCTCCATCCATCTGGTTGTCTGTTTGTCTGCTCTTGGTCACAGTGACCTCGATACTGCAAATTTGGTAAATAGAATTCAAAAGGCTTCAAACATGTGGAGAACACCAAACAACACGAGTTTGTCTTGGCCTGGTGAGGTCAGTGGAGGAGTCCGCGGTCGCGCCGCTTGCGCCGCTTGCGGTGCTAGCAGTGCTTTCCTCTAAAACCTTGATCACCTCGATCCACAAGGCCTCTTCCACGGTCTGGTTCCTCGCCATCTCTGAGCGCTTGAGATTGTACTACTACTACTACTACTACTACTACTACTACTACTACTACTAGTAGCTTCTTGTTCCTAGTAGTAGGGCCAGGAGCCCCTAGTAGCGTCCTTGCTCCTAGTAGCGATGCACCTTGCTACTAGTAGCAAGAAGCTAATAGTAATAAGGTGTGGTGACCAAAAGTGCTCTCAGATCTTTTGGAGGGCTAACTGCTCCCCTCAAAATGGGCTGGTTGAACTGTAGTGGGTCAACATCAGAACCCATTTTGAAGAGCTTCGTTGGTTTCGGTGGTTCCCAAAAATGAGCCAAGCTTCACATAGGTGAAGGATCCCATTGTTGCCAAAATGTGTGCCTCACTGCACGACTGATCGGGTGTGATTTCCCTGACAGCTTAGTATCTACAAACAGTTTCGATCATGTAAAGACTCAAGACTTCTTCAGCAGTCTTTGCATGCAAGTGGCCTCTGTTTAACTAAAAACTTACTTGATTTACTTTAGCAATCATACAATTACAGTACTTAGCTGCCCTTTTTCTCCACCGTATCCGATTTGCTTGCTCTCTCTTTCTAGGTCAAAAGGGATGGTGGTCGATGTGGGCGTGTGGTCTGGCTGTGGCAAGTGGTTTGTTCTTGGCCACGGAACTAGGGGCTCCTGGCATCGCTACTAGGAGCAAGGACGCTACTAGGGGCTCCTGGCTAGTAACAAGGACGCTACTAGGGGCGCATGGTCCTAAGCCGCTCAATCGCCAGTGTCAGTGTGTAGAAGGCCGCAAATCCCGAAATCTGTTCATAGGCTTCCCCCTACCCTCTCCCACAAAATAATTGAACACAATGATGAAACAGCTTTCCTCAATGCCCAGTCTGTCTTTGATTTTCTCTCTCTCTCTCTTCCTTTCTCTCTGTTTCTCTCGGCCTTGATGATGTCCTCATCGGCCTTCACGGAGGCTTGAGCTTGTGCAGCATCGATGCTGCAGGCCGCTTTCAATTCCTAAGGTCCAAGGAGCCCGCTCCTACTTAATTCGGTAGGCGCCTACTTAATAAAGGGAGTAAGCTCCTAGCCACTAAAGCTTCTAGTACGTGGACGCAGGATAGCTCATGCTAGTGATTTGCTTCCTAGCTTTTTAGCGACACTAGTCGTTTGCCCCATTGCCCTCACCCTTACTTAATTAAGCAGGCGTGCACTCAATTAAGGGGTAAACAAACAACTAGGTAACCTGCTACTAGCAAACGGACGTGGATAGCTCATGCACTATTCATTTTGGTTCCTAGATTCATTTCTTGTTATCGTTGTCTTTATTTGTGGTTTATCTGTTGGTGATGTTTCCCTGTCTTTCCTTCTCGCTTTCTGTTTGTGACATTCCGTCCTTCAGTGTCACGATGGGCATTTCGGACTTATCGATGTTGAGCTCCGGCATGATCAAAGTGATTGGAATGCTCCGGCGGACGGCAGAGAAGACCTGGGCAGAAACATGCTCTCTGTGCGGAGCAGTTTTCGTAAGTTGGAAATCTTTCTCCACCAAGACCAGCCAGGAGAAATATACTGAAATTGCAGGATTTGATGATTCCACAGGACGCGCGCCTCGAAAATACACCAGATTCGACTAGTGTAAGAGCACTCTTTGAACTTGTCCATGCACATCAGCACTTTGCCTCTTCACATGTGCCAATACGGGACATGTTTGCGGAGAGCAGACGACAAAAAGAGAAATAGCGAGTTGGTCGCCCCTGCTGTGAGAATTCCTTCCTGAATGAGCAACAACATCAGGCACCTGCACTTTCCAAAGGCTTGGCAAACACTGCCAGGAGCTCTTGAGTTTCTGCCGTCTCGCCATCTTGCAGCAACCTGAACCTTGGCTCATCTCTGGAGCTTCTTATAACTCTCTTGGACAATGATGGACAATGGATAGCGTAACTTTTCAGGAAGCATTGTTCCATCGTGGCACTCAGAATCACATCCAACCCTGACGGCAGGACATGGCAAAGCACACCCAACCAAAAAGAATTGACCACACCCCATGGATCGGGCTTAGCCGATCATCATGCAAGTGAGATTTGTTGATTGCTTTCATGATCTAGCTCATGATCTTTACAAAGCTTCGATATTGAAACCAAGAAGCTGGTTGTTCACCTTGGCGAGCGAGACACGACCGAATGACCGCAGCAGGACAGTGTAGCACACCACTTGTTTCTTGAGCTTTACGCCCAGCTTGCCGCATACAATATGAACATATATGAACCGAAAGCATTGCTCCATGTCACGAAGAAACACCACCAGACACAGGTCGAGTCGGGACTGCTCCCCGCGACCACAGCATGTGTGGTCCACCATTTGCGTAGCGCTCCGCATACGTTCTTCAGGGAATAGCCTGGCATGATCCCACAGAATTTCAGCAAACACAACAACGAGCCTGCGGAGCCTAGAGAGCCTGCGAATTGAGCAAATCCTTGACTTTGCTTGCTTTGTCATGGGATTCTGTGTTTGAGGATGCTCAACCTAAATAAGCCAAAAAAGCAATGAAGACTTTTTGGGCCTTCTCTTTTTGCGAGCGAAAGGTGTCTAGCTCGGGCAAGGGTCGATTCCAGTGGTGCACAAATCTCTCTGCGAGCGAAAAAAGCAGGCTAGGCAAGAATAAGTGAGATTGAAATGGACAACTTGCAAAAAGAGCAAATGAGAATAACAGAATAACATAGAATAACTAAGTTGTCAATCGACAAATTCCCCCTGATTGCCTGCTTTAACTGGTAAAGACACCACCAAACCGCGGCTGAGTCACCCCAAGCCCACGACATGAACCAATTTGCTGGTCCACTCTTCCCGTCCTCTCAAGGCGATGGTGCTCCGTTCGAGTCGCGATGCCGCTCCGTTCGTAGCGTCCTTGCTCCTAGTAGTACGGCCAGGAGCCCCTAGTAGCGATGCTCTTGCTCCTAGTAGTAGTAAGGCCAGGAGCAAGAACAGTAACACAAACGCAAAAGTTAGCAAGACATTTTTGGGTGCACGGAGAAGTTAACTGAGTTTCCATAGTGTCCCATTGCTTTGGCCATCCTCCATTATCCCACACCCACACAGAAACATGGGAGCCTTCTCATGATTTGTCTTTATGCGATCTGAGAGGTCCTTGCGTAGTGCATCAACAAGGCTGCAGTCTGGCTTGCCATCTCGAGGACAAATCTTTCCTTTTCCAAGCGCATCTGGACCATACCTCGAGAGACAGAACATGACAGAACTGAATTGTCAAACAGTTCGCAAAAGAAGTCTGTGCTGGGTGATGTCAAGACAGAAAGGTTGGACGTTGTGTCGCAAAAACCTCAATAAGTGATTCAACCACTTGCCTATGCCATCCTGAGCCTGTCTACTTGTGCACTCTTTCCTGTCTACTTGGTTGCTTGACTGCCTGGGTGGTGCTGCGGTGTTTGTGAGCGGTCTTTTGGGCCAAGCTACGCTAGGAGTCCTGCCATCTCGTGAAAGTTGGGGTTTTCTGGAGGCGGAACGACATTGAGGCTTCCCCAATTGCAGGCTCCTGTCTCCTCAGCAACGGGACGGCGATCAACGAGCCTTCAACGAGTCTCCTTGCAGGCGTCCCAAAAAAACGACAACGAGCCTTCAACCTAGAAGCAATGGCCTCCAACCTAGCGATGGCTTCCAACCTACTAGCGATGGCCTCCAACCGTTCAACCTACTAGTTACTGGCGCTGGCCTCCAACCCAGAAGCGATGGCCTTCAACCTATTGAGCTTGAGTATATATAAGTCTGTATGTTTGACCTTTCTTTTGAGATGAACCATTGCCGCAGTATGTATGATAGCTGCCAAGTCGTCAAGCCCCAATGTGCTAGGTATGGAATGGTATACATTACATTCAACATTCCGACACGTGACATGGACCAATGGACCACTCCCGGAACCGAAATCAGCCGAAGCTCCAGGTCGCAGCAACGGACCTTGACTCGGAAGCCGCACTCCGTGACTGCGCCGATCTCATGGAACCGCCACTCCGTGTCCTGCGCCTTCTGCGCGTACAAACCTCACGAGTGGAGCGAGGCAAACTGAGGCCGAACTGAGCAGTTTGCACGCGGAGCGAGACAACGTGGAGCCAATTCATGCCCGGCTGCTTTCCAGCTCATCCAGCGCAAAGGATATGGAGACTCCGAGACGTTTGGACTCTTCGCTGACTTTCTGCTTGCGCTCACCGATCAGTCGATTAGCCTTGTGTTGCCACATGCCGTACCTCGGCAACCCATCGGGAGAGATCAAATTAAAGAAGAAGGGAGAAAGAAAACGGTATGTAAATTGCTATCTAGTTGGAGGCCATCGCTCTTAGGTTGGAGGCCATTGCTAGGAAGAAAGAAAGCGACCTTTCTGAGCACTTCGAGTCCAGCCAGTCTCATCCCATTTGTCTTGCCAACGAACTTGTTTTGCGCAGGGAGTTTCGTGGGGTGATTCTCACCAAAGGTCTGCTGTCGATGATCCGACACCTAACAACGATTTCAACCCTCTCAAGCCGAACAATTTTTGCTAAGTAGCTTCGCGTAGGAGGCCTTGACAGTGTGCAGTTCCTGCAAAGGTGGAAGGATTCTCCCCCAGCATGTGCAACTCAAAAGTTTGGCATGCTTCTTTTCGGAGAACCAACACTGCTTTTGCATGCATGATATTAGGTTGCCATCGCAATAATGATATCACGTGCTTTAATTTTGCTATTTAGTGATTTATGGACCTGCTGGAGAGGCCACATTGTTTTGGCTGGAAAGACTGTGCTCTTTCCGATTGACTTCTCACGCAGCTCAGCGCTCCTCATACTCGTGCATCGCTTCAAGGTCTTTGAGGTGTTTCTTGAGATACCAAACCCGCACCCATCCAGCGATGATGTAGCTGAAGATGATGAGCAAGCAAAAGCCAAGAAGGAAAAGGACAAAGTAGAGAATCGTACATTGATTGTCCTGCCACTTGGTTTCATCTTTGGAACGGAGGCAGGCTTTGAACATGCTTTCGGACTTTTGAAAGACTGAAAATGAAATCGGTGTTTGTTGAGTCTTTTGCGGTACTGAAGTGTGGAGTCGAGCTGACATGCTCCTCCCCCAGCACCATGAAGGGGAACGTGCATTCACGGCATTCATCGTCTCCCGGCATGGCATACAACTGACCCGGGCATGCTTTGCACTCGCCACCCGTGGCATCTGGCACCGAGCCCTCGGGACCTCACGACAAAGCGGCACGTGGGCGCAAACCGTGTGCCAGAGCAAAGGGCAAACGGTTCTAAGTTGCTAGAAGCAAGTGTGTTACATAGGAAACAAAAAAAAGATCTTAGCGCATTCTGCACGTGTATGCACCGTTTATTCCATCACAGTTGAGAAAGGACCTGAATTTGCCCTCTGAAGCTCCCATCACTGAATCTTTGTCGTGGCACATGGCAGGCACCGCTCAGACCTCTCAGCTGCAAACCTCACTGCACAGCCATTGGACACATTGAATGCATTCGTTAGACATCGCTCAAGACTGTCGCTGGATTGACAAACGCCACGTCACATGCCCGACTCGCAGGCACTGCACGAGCTCCTCTCGTCATTCGGCGCGCTGCCCGCAGCGCCTTGGAGGAGTCATGCGTACGGCCAGGAGCCCCTAGTCGCTTCTTGCTACTAGTAGCGATGCCCTTTTCTCCTAGTAGCGTTTTAGTAACCCCTCAATGTGCTTTGTGTCATTCTGCAAGCCAAGCATCAGGGCACGCAGCTGACACCTGGGAAGGCTGAGGGACCACTATTTCCCAGCAAATGCAGCAGTCCAGGAGGCCGCTACAAAGCATCTCTTGTGAGGCATCCACAGTGACTACAAAGCCTGAGGTGGTTGCCCGGTGGCTTAGTACTTTTGCTGGCTCATTGTTTGCACCTTGTGGGTGCTGTTGGATGATCTAGTGCAGTTTGCCGGAGTTGATTACAAGGTGTCGAACTCCCAAGCAACTTGCGCCCAGGTTTACAGGCACAGTAGAGGTGGAGGGGGCTGCGCATGCAATACCTGCAAAGGCCTCCAACCTAATAGCAATGGCCTCCAACTAGATAGTGATGTACATGCTTCATTCCTAAATAATCCTAAATATTCCTAATGTCAAATTGGTTGCATGGGTGCAGGCTTTCGTGGTAGGAGGGATGTGTGAGATATGTTGTCGATCTCGACGGCCACTGTGGAACTTACAGTGCTAGTACAACACGTGGGTTGGTAGCTCCAAATCTTCTTTGTTTTGTGAGGAATGATTCTGAACAGGTTTATGGCCTTCTTGTCTTTAATGGGACAGTATTTGTCTAAACGGATTGTTTCTGTTGGTTCAGGTGTCGGCGGCTTCTTGCAATGTAGTGCATGGCATGTGGAGGTGCTTAGACTTTGCCAGCACCAGGGCACCCTGCACGTTCATCTACCAACATGCCTCGCGCATAAGCCAACAAATACACCCTTCACGTACCCCTAAATGTTCCTTCAGCATAGGCAGGGACACTTCACGCTGCTCGATTACACATTCAAGATTTGTGAGGATTTGGTGTGAACCTGAAGCAGCAGCACCAGCAGCAGTGACCTCCGAGAACAAGTCATGACATTCTTCATGCTGAGTGGCTGCCAGCTACTGCGATGTAGCCCTCATCACAGCGGATACACTCTGTACGGTTGGTATTTGGGCGGCTCCCATGCCCACACCTGCGCTACTCAAAGGCACATTTGGAGAACAGCTCCGTCTTGACGGATTCAATGACTTGTCATGTTCTCCGAACTGTTGACCCCCTTTCAGTGACTCTCAGAGGTATGGGAACACACCTTTTTAAAGGCCGCTCTGTCCAAACAGACCGTGTACCGCATAGCACACCCACCTTCAAGGGCTCAAAGGCCCACACACCCAGGCCTCACGCAGGTGGAGTGATTCTCGGAAGCGACAAAGCCATCTGGGCATGGATCACAGGTGGCACTGCCGGGGCTCGAGTGGGTCCCAGCATAGGGGCAAACATAGCACTCCGCTGCACCAGGCTGACTTGAACGGCCAGCAGGGCAAGCCAGGCAGTCCGTCTGGCCCATGAACTGCTGGTATCGCCCAGCCTCACATAGCTCACAAGGAGCATTCCCGACAAAGATCTTGTAGCGGCCACTCTCACAAGGCATACAAGCATCCCAATTTCTATACCAATCACTGATGTTGGGAACCTCTGCATTGGCTTGGAGGAATTGCCCAGAAGGACACTCCCCTTCATGACACCCATCCCCATGGAAAGGTGCCAAGCACTTGCACTGCCCTGAGCCGAAGGAAGTCAAGACCTGGTACTTGGACTTGTTGGACTCTTGGGAACTGCTCCGAGCATCAGCATCATCCTCACAAACCCCTCGCCTGCTGCATGTACCCTCCAAAGTGTTATACCCTGGGCATGCCTTGCATGTCTCCAAATCTTTGAAATGAAATTGGGAGCAGCGCGAGCACTCAGAACCTTCAACTCCCGAGTAGCATTCGCACTGTGCCGTCTTGTGGTTGCAAGAGCCGAGTTTGCAGTAGGGCTGGGATTGTGGATAGCAAGCACCAAGAGTGTAATAATTGAAGTGGTTGATATCTCCATGCAAACGGCCAGTCACGATGAGGTCAAGGTAACCATCACCATCCCAATCTATTACCGTCGGTTTCGTTTGGGTTCCGAGATTTTCTGGAACCTCCTTTAACATCTCTGGCCGCATGACGAAACTGCCGTGGTCCTGTTCGAAATAGATGAAGCCAGAAAAAGCACCGCCCGAAACAATGAGATCCTCGGAGTTCTCAGGCACGCCAGCCAGAGATACAAGGAACCAAGAGAGTCTTAATTTGTTAAAGCAAAAAGTAACACAGCAAACAAAAAAAACAAAAGGCAAAGCACACACACCAAAAAAACATGTAGCTTTGCGTGTTTATCGCTATGTTTCACTTTTTTGTGTTCTTTTCACATTTTTCCGCGGTATTTTCTTTTGTTTGTTTTTTGTTCGCATTGTGATCGTTTTTTTGTTCTGGTACCACTTTTGCACTTATGAAACCGTTTACCCGTCAGCAAATATTCGCTGTACGCTCCTAAGGAAAAACACAACAAGCAACAAAACAAGTGAAAATAACACAAAAATCGTGAAACAAAAAACGACAAACACGCAAGCTCCATTTTCTTGTTTTTTTTCGCTCTTGTTGCGCTGTGTGTTTGTTTTGTTATTTGCTTTTGCTTTGCTTTGTTTCTGTTTTTGGTGTCTTTTCATTGTCATGTGCTTTTGTTTTCTTGTTTTTTCATATTGTTTAAAAAAAAATATTTGATGGTTGGTCATGGTTGGTCATGTATGGCTGCCATTGCTCCACACAATGTTGCAGCATGATTCCACAAAAACCACAAAAACTACACCAGCACCGACCTCAAACAGCATTTGTTCACTCGGTTTGTTTTAGACAGCCGTGGCATACACAAGCACAAACATAACACTCTATGATTGAAAAACGTGTCTTTGCAAATTACATTGGGGCTTGTATTTTTGTTGACGTTCCCGGGCCAGGATGTTTGACTATGGGGCATGCTTCGGAGGTATGTTTCCAGGGTATGCTTCGGGGTATGCTTCGTACAGTGTGCAAACCAAAACAGACGCATTTTTAGAAAGTATGCTTCGGGGCATGCGTCGCCTAAGTAGAACATCCCAGCCCTACATAAACTGAACACTAAAAGCACACACCCATTATCACCCATTTGTGTATTTCGACAAGTGCAAGCGCACGTTGAAAATCATGAAGTTGCATTTCGCAAGGCGTCTGTACGTCTTTTTGAAAGCTCATGTTGTAACTATATATTTCTCACATCTGTGCCGTTCAACCAATACAATTGCATGTTTTCAGAAACATGACGTTGCACTTCCACAGTCACAAGTCTGGCTTGTCAGAAGCTGACCACAGCGCATATAACTGAGAGTACAAACGTGCGTTCTCACACCGCGGTGATTCCGAAGGCGCAATCCTGCAGTTTCCCTAGCATCCCATTGCACGCTGTATGATATGCACCTGTCGCTTTTAAATGCACAGGCCTGTGTTTCCAGTCGCACTGGTCTTTCCATGGGCATAAACCTGCCCTTTCAAAAGCATCCCGTTGTGCGTTGCAGAAATTCGTCTGCGTATTTCGAGCAATCCTTCTCAGAAACATGATGTTGAATTTCCACAGTCAAACTTCGCAAACTTGGTCTTGTCATCACATTTGTGTGTGCATCCTGGATTCAAGGGCGTCTTTTTTGTTGCGATTTCCTGGTGTATTATGAGCAGTGGGGTCCCAGAGGAGCGGTGGCCAACGAAGATCTCCTCTGGGACCCTTTGGAAACATCGCTGTCGTTTGCTTTCATGGTGGTTCATGTGGGGCGGCAAACGTTTAGTTTTGTGCAAAGATGTTGACACGATACGTCGTGAACCACTTTTCTTCCTCCTATTCTTCTTCGTTTTCATGTTGTTCTTTCTTTTGTTGTTTCTAGCAGGTTTGCTAGGCGCTATCAGGTCGGAGTCAATTCTACACCTGTCCTTCACCGAGCGTTTTCCTTCCACTTCTCCAGGGCGCGATGCTTTCAGTTCGGACGCCGTATATTGTATCTCGAGTGCCTTTTCTTTTTAGACATGCCTTTGTGTAGTAATTAAAAGTGCGCGCTTGCAGAAACAAAACGTTGCACTCCAGAGTCAATATTTGGCCTTTCCAAAAAGCATTCACAAAACCTTATGCGCTTCGAGCACAGTGGGCGATTTCAGAAACACGCCACACCAGTGTGAGATGAAACCGAAGGTTCACTGAACCACCGAACGCACGCTATCACGATCCGGCGAAAGCCGCCAGAAAGGAGACAAGCGAGCCAGTTCCAATTCCATACGTCGTGCAAAAAGATTTGGTCTTAACATCCAAGAAGAGCCATGGAAGATCATCTCAGCCCAGCGTCCAAAAGAGCCATGAAAAACGAGGGTGACAAAAAGCGACAAAGTAGAACCATCTCACACCACTCGCTGCACAACCCAAGATCAACTTACTTGCGCACGTGAGGTCGACACCAGACCGAGAAGATCTAATTGAGAAGGGGAGATGTCCCAAAACTCACTCGCGTGTGGGAAAGCTAACGCAGTATGTGGGGCTGCGATGTGGGTTGAATGGTTATTTGCTGCTCGGAGTGGCTCCTTCCTCCACTATTTTTTCGGGCGGCTCAGAAGGCAAAATCATTTTAGCCCAGCATCCAAGAAGAGGCCTGAAGGTGGAAGGGATACAAAGCAGGAGCCAAAGCCCAGCAGCCAGAAGAACTATGGAAGACAAATGGAGGCAAAGCAGAATCTTGGAAGCAGAATGTTATCCCAGCCAGGATCGTATCCATGCAGTTTCTATTCAAGAATTGAGACGAGAACCCTCACAGCAAAGCTATTTGTTGAAGAATCACACCAGCATAGCAGCTTGCTGTTGTTTTGCCCATGTGGCTTGCAGCTTGTTGTTGTTGTTTGGGGACTCGTCTCAGCCTCACATCCAGAAGAGACATGGGAGACAAAGGGAAACCATGTCGTGACTGGTTGCTTCATGTTGCTTCTGTTGCGTGATAAGAAGGGAGAAGCAGGAAACAAGTGGCGAAACAAAAGGAAGTCGTGTTGCGTGAAGAGAGACAAGTGGCGAGACAAAGGGGAGATGGAAAGGGAAGCAAAGAGTAAGGCAAACAAAGCAGAATGATCTCAGCCCAGCATCCAGAAGAGCCATGGGAAACAAAGCCGGGCTCAGCTCAGCATTTAGAAGAGCCATGGCCGCACAGACCCCACAGGCCCCACAATCTCAAAGCACAGGCAGACAAGCGGGGAGACATTTCAGTGGGTGTCGAAACAGCAGCGTTCCGCGAGCTTTTGCGCGCAGCACTAAATAGGCTAAGGCTGTGGCGAAACTGCCGTCCTGGACCCTCGCTGGGGAGACAAGTAAGGGGACAAAGGAAGCAGTGGCACACAAACAAGCAATTGGGAGACAAGTGGGGGGACAAGGCCGCAGTGGCAGTGGTGGACAAAAGGCCGATCAGCCACCCAGTCATTGAGCAGTAAGAGCCCTATAGCTTTCAGCTATCTGGTGAACAAAGCAGAATCATCTCAGCCCAGCATCCAGAAGAACCATGGGCAGCAAAGGGAAAACAAACGGAAGCAAGCAGAATCATCTCAGCCCAGCCTCCGGAAATCCTCTTGGCCCGGGATCGTTACTATGCAAGAATTGAGACCCGCTCACAGCAAAGCTGTTTCGGGAACAAACCAAGTGCGGTATCCACGATGGCTGGCTGTTTATAGGGCGCTTGCAAACACAGCCTTCTACAGTCATCCAAAATCCAATAGCATGCAAGTCTCCAAATCACCATCATCATCGAGATCCACAAAGGCGCTGCACGTGGCCCAGAAGCCCTCTCGAACTGCTTGAACTAAAGTTTTGACAGCCACCTGGACATCTTCTGGTTCCCCGCTGATAAGTTTGCTGATTTCTGCATCAGACAGGGAACCAAATTTCTGCACAAACCGTTGGCTGTCGTTTGCAGGAAGCCCTGCAATCACCAGGATACTGACCTCAGGACTTTGGTGCTGCTGGACAAACGGGTTGGAACAATGCCAACAACAAACAATTCCACTGCGGCAAACCTGTTGTACAACGACCCACAAAAGTCCGATACTTTGGAACACTGGCAACGCCAGTCTTTTGTGAACACATATGTGCATCCAATGATCCGAAACTCAAATCCCTGCCGTGCCATTTTCACACGGCTGTGCTTCTTTGCATCGTGTGGTTTGACCCTCTGTTGTGTGCATCACGAATGTCCCGCTGTCTTCGATGTGTTTATTTTTCGCTCGAAAAAACAAAATAACAAACTCACAACAGTCAAGGCGATGCACCCTCCTTCCTGCAGTGAATGCAAAGAAATAAACTATGCGGGTAACCGTGTCCGAATTGTTGGTGACCAAACACTACCAAACATTTAATGTTTCAAAGTCAACCATGGAAAACGCAAAACGCCGATCAGTTGCTAAACAAACTCTTGAAGTGACCCATGAACAGTTGAAAAGGGAACTTCTTGCAGCTGGCCAACATTCTGGAACGGACTCTCTTCCACCCTCTGGAAGCTTTGATTGACCTGCCATCAATTCAAGCAACCAATCAGAAAATCCATCAAGGATCGCGTTGGTGCTAAGCGTTTGCTGAGTTTCAAGCGGACCTGACATCAAGTGTTATCCGACAATATCCCTTCGTGCTGACAAGTGAATGACGAAAGAGTTGATCCTGCTTCGTCCAAGGCTTTTTCGACGACCCGATCGACAGCCCATTGGACCGGAGGTGGCCTGTTGATAAAGTTCCAAATGTCCTCTGTCAGCTCCTGCCACTACGTCCATGTTGCCATCACCATCCCAGTCAATCAATGTAGGGCACGGAGGCGACAAAGGTGATCCTTGCGCTGCGCGCTAGAACACCAGCAAGTCTTTTGTGCTGGTCGAGCCTCATGTGCTCACGCATGCTTTACCTGAGAAGGGAGGGGGCGAAAGCCAGCCTCTGGCTTAGGGGGTGCCCTCAGGGTAGGCCCGGGCAAAGACTTGGCGCGGAAGAGGAAGTGATGGGGTAACATCGGGCAAAGATTAATTTCATGGGGTGAAGTTGACATCGCAGCCACACTGATAGGGGGTAGAAATGGAAAGTAGAAGACACAGGTCTGGGGGGGGTGCCCCTTGTCGTACCGGTTCAGGGTGATTTGGAGGTGAAAAAGGGCGAGGCGCGCTTGCCGGCGGCGTGTTGCGAATCAGTGAGCAAACACGGCGGTGGGGGTTCATGTGCGAGGCTATGGGTAGGGTAGGTGAAGATATATATATATATTATATATATATTTGTATGTAGGTAGGGTGGACAAAGAGTAGCCGGAAGTGGTGAGGTTGATATTGGAGCGACGTCAGTGCGCAAGATGAACTGATAGGCTAACACTATGTAAAGAGTGCGTGAATGTGGCGATAGGAGGTAGAAATAGACGGTAGAATCAAAAGGGGGTGCCCTTTTTCGTGCGGGTGCAGAAGTGTTGTGGAGGTGAAAAATGGCACCCTCGAAGATGTTATGTGAGTTCGAATGAGTGACCAGAGACGGTCGTGGGCGAGGCTATCGGCAGGCTTTCGCGAGGACATATATGTATATATATATATATATACTTATTTAAATATATATTATAGAGTGGACAAGGAGGAGCTGGAAGTGATGAAGTGGCTATGGCCGTCACTCGAGAAAGAATGGAAATAAAGAGTAGAATACAAAGGTTTGGGACGGGTCCCTTTTTGCGTCTCGATGTTGGGGCGTCCTTGTTGTATGGGGAAGGTTGGGTATGGTGTGTTGGTCTATGTTTCAAGTGAGTTGATGGCTGGCTTTCGTGATTAGATATTCTGGTTCAGTTGAGCTTGGAAGTGCTATGGTTTCCAGCAACAGCTGGCCACTTCAAATGGCACAAAATTGCAAACCTCTGTGGTATGGATGCAATGCGCAGTCTCATATGTACAAAATAGTTCAATAACTGCACAAGATTACACATGTGATTGGTAGAGCAAGGAGATTGCACAAGCTCAAGACAGTTCACGTTTCACAGTGCTGGAGTGTCCATTTTCCGGACGTTTTGTCGACCCACGGGAGAGGTGCTTCTCAGCTTTGGAAGCTTTCGTCGCAGGGACGGGATCTTAACACATGTCATATGGGGTCCCCTTTTGAGTCCAGTAACTAGACCTTGCCACGTGGAAAAAAGGGCGCCCCTAAGCAATTCAAAACCTTCCGCCTCCAACACTCGCCCGCTGCAATCTCTTCTCTCTCCTGCCCACACTCTGGTCACCTTTTATCCGCTCTGGGGCATGTTCAGGAAAGATTATGATCCCTGAGTCAGTGGGATCTTTATTAAGAAGGGTCCAAAAGCATATAACAATCATTTCATATGCTTCATTTCTTCAAGCGCTCAAGTAGGGCCGATCTTTTGAACGTCGAGATCAACTTTTGACGTTTTTCTGGGAGGTTGACCTCCCTCCCTGGTAGTCCAGTCTCTCCATTGTCTGTCGTCAGGGTCCCGCGGCTTAGACTGACAGCCAAGAATAAATGTCACGCGAGGCTCCAACCCGTAGGCTTGGGGCTGCTTAGTGCTGCTTAATGTTGCGACATGCGCACGAATCCTACACGGGCGGCTATGTATGCCACAGCAAAATGCTAGCGAAAGCTGCTTGCCTCCACATTGTAGGTTCAACAGCTTCCCTCAGCGTTTGGGGTATATAAACACTGCGTTCCTGAATGAAACTGATGCATGGAACAAAAAGATAGTAATAAGTTGGCTGCATGCCAAAGTCTTCTTGCATGGTTCATCTCCTTGTCCAAAAACTTGCCTTGCCACTTGTTCAAGGTCCCTTTTCTCAAACTTGGCAGTTCAGCTTTGCTTGTTCAATGACTGGATTCCTCAAGCAATGATGTCCGTTTTTGAAGCGAAGCTTTATCTGGTGTTGAAAGGGGAGGAGGGCGACGCTAGGGTCTTTCAGTTCATTGGATTTCCTTGAAGCCTGCACCCAGAATGACAACAGTGTCTTTTATACAAGTAAACAATTGGCGCTGTCCTCAAAGGACGTTGAGTTCTTTCCAGCAAAACACATATTGAGGAACAATCTCTGGGGATCGCGCACAGGCTCCTATGCCCTTTCTGTGTGACTGGTGTGGCTGAACAACGCTCACAAGGAAGGGAAGCTTTGTAGACAAGAGCATTCAATGGGAAGGTAGTTTGGGAAGTTGGGAACCTTTTGCGAAGATACTCAGCTGTTACAGGTGTTATACTTCATGTTTAAAGCACATGCCTCAAGAAAACATCCGTCAGGAAGCCGAAGAAACAACAGATTCTGCAATGTCACTCTTAACTTACACTAAAAACATGTGTAGTACTTGGGAGTGTCATCTGTGGTGATTCTCTTGATGCTGCGGCAGCCTTTGAAATGACAAATAACTATTCAGAAATGTCAAGAATCTAATTATAGCTAAGGTGGTTCAACTTGTGGACGTGTCACAGTGCGCTCATGGAGGTGTGCATGGTCTCTATCCACATATATATTGTGAAACATCTGTATTCTTACCTAAGCTGAACGTCTGTTGCCCGAAAAAAGTAAAATTGACTGCACAATCGCTTGAACTGGTGCAATAATGGTAGTTCGACACCCAAATCCATCGAAATTGACCTGGATCGTCTTCGTAGTTGCCACTAGAGCTATGAAACAATCGTGGAATCTCGTGTTCACGATTTGCATGTGTCTTACATTTGAGATCTCATGTGGGCCTCACAATGTGTTCTGCAAGAAAAACAAGTCGCCTTGACAACCTCCCTGCACTATTCAGAAACACTCTTGTGTCTTGTTTCCAAAGCGCAACTCGAGTCTCCCAAAGGTGCGCTAGGGAACTCGGTCGCTGGGTTTCGTCTCATCAAGGGCCTTCTGCACAAGAAACAGCCTTTTGGTTTTGAGAGGCCACTAAGCAGTGGCTAAGTCACCTGCGACCATATTATATGCGTGTATTACCAAGGTGCTCTCAAGCCCGGCAATCGGAGATAGGAAAGAGGAGGTCGCATGGCATGAACAAAAACCTTTTCAATTGCTGTCCGCGCAAAGACAGGAACACTAATCGAATCCAAGAACAACGCGACTTTTCCAACTATATATACCTGAGAAGGGGGTTCTGCCTGGATTCAGTTTTTTCTCTCCTGTCCTCTACCTGCACTCACGCACCTGGTCAGCTCACCTCAGTGTGAGGTGCCCTTGTTTGCCAACTGCGGACCGCTGCTGCGGGCGCTTTGAAGCATCGGCTTCAAATTCTGCTAGCAGTCATCAGACATAGATATACACCCGGTTAGTTAATGTACGGAGCGGACATGGTTCCTTCGCACACGTCGAGGTGTCGGGTGTCTTCACATCTGCTTCTGTCAAATGCCCTTGTTTGTTGCATGTCTATATCGGGTGAAAGAAAAGGGCATCCCACATCAATATCTAGTTGTAAACATAAAGCTCGCAAATGTTGGAGACCTCCTGTTGAGTTTGCCAACGCTGTCCTTGTGAGTTTAAGGAGGTTCCTGCCTGCATCTTTGCCTTTGCAAATGTCGTTCAGTCTCCTCTCTCGTGTCCTCCACCCGGACTCGCATACCTAGCGGTATAGACAATCAAAATAGTCTCCTGAAAACTTTGAGATGCTCATGATGCACTATTCAGTGTCGCTTGCATCACTCAGACCCCTAAAAACACCTTCCTGACTTCCTCTTTTTTCACTCTCCCCCAACAGTCTCTGGGCTCACCCTACCCGGCGGGTCCAGTCCTGCGACCACCCCACCCCCCGATTACTCACTTCGTTTACCCATCGAGGACTCAGCCATGCCTATAGTCTGGCTTTTGTAACATATATAGATACAAATTAGAACTATGCATATATATATATATATTGTTATACAAACTTGAGACAGGGAAACACGAAAGGTTGAGTACCACGAATATATGAAAGGTGTATCAAGTGTGGTGTGTGAAAGAAGGGACCTATGTCGGAGCTGCTACAACGCGTGGTGTCGTGGAGGCTTGTCAACACTGGTGTAATTGCGTGGCGCTAACCTGTGCCGCGCAAGCGCGGTCGTATGTCACGCGCGCGTTCCGCATAGGGTCGCGAGGAGAGGTTGCTAGGCGTGTGGTGTGGTGAGGTTTGATAACACGGTTTTGTGTAGAGGCTGTGTGCGTCAACGCTAGGGGTAGAGAGCAATATGGTGTGTGAACGCTGGCCTGCTTGAAAAAAATGCGGCGCGTAAACGCTGGCATGTGAAAGAGCTGCACGCGCTGCGTCTAAGCCGTGTTGCGCAACCTCATTGTAGGGGCACTGTTGCTACTGCCAGTAAAGGGACATCACGCTTAGTGGTGCTGGCGAGGGAAGGGGGGTCAATAGAATTGATATATATATTTGGTCCCGAGCAACCCTTTTGCTTTGCAAAGCAAACTCAAGCTAGCCGTTACCAGGCTACCTTTCGTGACAGTCTTCAGGCTCGCAGAAGAGTGGACAAGCAGCAGAAGAAAGCTCTGGTCATCTCGACGAGGCTTTCAGCAGTCATGTTGCGCAGAGCAGCAGCAAATGAGGTCTCTCACGCAAACAACACACGAATCTGTGCAAGTGGAGAGCATGGCGACCCGCGCAACCGCAGCAAAGGATACACTTGGTATCACGTGGTTACACTCGGAAGCAGAAGGAAGAGTAGATCTCGCCGCGCACCTGCGAAGAGAAGCAAGTTTGCCGCGTAGCCGCGGATGTCACAGTTCGTTGCGGCTCTCTGCTTCGGTGTGTAGCACCGCCAGGCCTGCACAGCAGGACCGGCTAAGCTAATCAAACTTCATGGGGCGCGCATCCGGCGCAGCTTGTTTGCGAGTCCGCATGCAGGCGCGCACAAACGCTGACTCTATGACAGCAAACAAGGTCGGCCCGTGGGTAGAAAGTGGTTACCCCAGCAGAGATGAAAATCATGTCGTGAGCCATGAGGTCCACAAAGTGTCGCACTTCCCACGAAATCTGCACATCCAAGTAAAGCCGAGCCGCCCGAAAATAGAGTCGACTTGAAACCAACAAAATGCGAGAGTTTCCCTCGAACCTGCCACGAAAAGTGACCACCAAGTCCGAAAATGCACTTGGCACCACAACGACTCACGACAGCGCAGCCGAATCTTGCACGACTGCGCACCGTCAAAGTACTGCGCCTGCCACGGAAAAAACACATGCAACTGCCAGGAGGACAACTTTTTACACCCTGACAAATGCTTCGTTGCGAGTCGTGAGCAAGCAACCTGTTTGGAGAAATATACATGTTGGATCAGCTCCTCCACCTTTGAATTGATGTTCTGAAAGAAACAAGTGCCGCTTTTGCCACGTGTCATTGTTTGACCCAACGAATTGTGGCATGGGACCCCGCGACACTTTTAGCAGCGCTGGGTGTGGGGTAAGTTTCATTGACAAGAGATGGACACTTTCAAAGCTAAGGGGAGAATTGCGGAACATGTCTTCAGTGATAAAACAGCGAACCAAGTTGTCTCTTATATATATATATCCTCTCCCAATGTTCAAGTTCAAGGACTCAGGGAGAAGCAGGGCAGAATCGAACAAAAGACCTTTGTGTGGTATTTATGTAGCAGGAAGCCATCATTCAGGCGCCACCGGACGCTGAGATGCCTCCTTTACCTTTCCAACTTAATGTTTGGAAACGTCCTTGTTACCAGTAGTAAGGCCAGGAGCCCCTAGTAGTGTCCTCTTGCTACCAGTAAGACCAGGAGCCCTGTTTGGTGGGCGTCTCCCCGCTTCAACACCCAACTCCTCTCCTCTCAAGGCCCCAAAGGGATTGTCGTCACCTTCCATACTCTTGAAATGGCCATTTTCTTGACGGAGATAGCCTTGGCAGGCAATGCGTGGACCAACACTTCTTCATGGAAGTAGGTGTGTGAGCTGGTTGAGGCTGCCAGCCAAAGGTGCCTTGTGGGTTATCTTTCTGTTCTTCACCTTTGGATTTCAGCATTCCAAATCCAAAGTGTAAATCCCGGTGAGTCGCGACAAATTCGGCTCTGGTCAGTACTAGGGATGGCCTCCAACCTAGTAGCGGTGGCCTCGAACCTAGTAGCGATGGCCTCCAACCTAATAGCGGACTGCAAGTCCATCAATCTGCTTCAAAGGTACTGAACGACCCAAACAGTTTCCCTTCCACGATGTCAACATGGCCGTCTCCATCGACATCTCCAACAGCGAAGGTTGTCCTGTGTGGAGCTTGTTTCAAGCTTTGAGAGCGATCCAAAACCTAGTAGCGTCGTTGCTCCGTTCGTAGCTTCAACGACCGTTCCAATTTTGAGTGAAACCCAAACGGCATTTCCAACGGACTTCGCTTGCATGGATGTTCCACGGTTTCTCAGGCGGGAGAAGCACCCGTAGGAGCCCTAATAGCGTCCATGCTCCTAGTAGTAAGGCCAGGAGCCCCTAGTAGCGTCCTTGTTCCTAGTAGCGATGCCCTTAGCTAGTCGCTTATTTTGCTGAGTGGCTCAGGATAGGGTACCTCAGCATTGTGGAAGGGATTCTCTTCATCAAAGCGTTCCACCAACTCCTCGTCAATGTGTTCGAAGTACCTGAAAGACCTTTGCAGGGGACGGAAACCTCGCAAGATCAAGTCCAAATCGCCATCACCATCCATATCGAAGAAGTCAGCATAAGAGCCTTTCATGCCAGTGACAATCATCTCAAAAGGGTTCTCCGCTTCAACGAAAGCATGATCGAGCTCTTGTTTGTACTGGCGAATGTCAAGATCTGTTACATGGATAACATCAGCTTGCCCATCACCATCCCAATCTCCCAGAGCAAAGGCATTTGTCACATCTTCCACTTTCAACATGCCCTTGCAGGATTGGGCTGTCTAACACTCAAACATGTGGAGAAGCAATTCTTGAATACAAAACATGATAGTCACCTGCCTTGAAGGGATTCCGTTCATCGGACGCTTGTTCCAGCTCTCCATCCTCTGTCCGTTCGAAGAACTTGGCGTCTTGGCTTCCCTGAGAAACCGTCAATAGGTCGATGTCACCATCTCCATCCATGTCTCCGGCTGCGTAATAGGCGATGGGCCTCACCTCGAGGATGTGCTCCACGCTAGTTCCATCAGAAAGCTGTTCGAACCAGTAGATGGCCTTTTTGTACAAGACCAGCAAATCCAAATCTCCATCGTTGTCCCAATCGAGCATTAAAGGGTCAGAGTAACCGAACTTCACTCCGAGAAACGGATGCGTGTCAATCTGCACGAAGCTACCATCAACCTAGCAAGTCTGGTTTGCACGTACAATCGAATTTAGGCCCAGCAAGTTCGCACAGGGGGGAACCGGGAACCGGTGGAAGGGATAAGGAGATAAGGAGAAGGAGGCTGCACAAAATGAGCCAAGCGTGATGAAGTGAGCGAGCCTGTAGGCATATCCCCACACTACTCCCGTGGTTGAGAGAGGTCCAGGTGAAGCCAATCAAATCCAGCATGCCATCTCCATCCCAGTCTGCCATGCAAAATCCATATGCAAGCTCAATATTGCAGGACATATTCCTCACTGAAAAGGTAGGCAGAGTGAGGAAATTCATGAAAACTCGCCTTGTTTTTACCGTTCCACAGATATTGTAAGCAAGATCAAGATTCTGAAAAGGACTATTTGGATGCTCGATGACCAAGTGATTGTCCAGGTGCTCCAAGAACCGGACAGCAGGTCCATCGCGACCTCTGAAACCGTCAACAAGCACCAAATCCTGATCTCCATCTCCATCCCAGTCCGCCAACAATGGCGTATAACTTACCTCGACAAAACTGTGCCTCAAACCTCACACCACAAGGACCTTGACAGGCCTTGTTTGCGTTTGCCTTTGCCTCAGAAGCCTCAGCGACTCTGATAAAGGCCACAATAGAAATGATTGCAAGGTGTTGTGGAATCGAAACATCAATGAGCAGAAGAAAGATTGAAGAGACATTGTCTGCTTAACTTGTCTCGTTTGGAATTGTTGAAGCAAGTGACTTTACTTTACACGTACTGAAGTCCCTTCCAAAGCTTTTCCAAGTCCTTTCCATTTTGATCATGCAGCAAAGATGCTCGACAGTATGGTTTTTTGCAAGCTTGTTGTCGTGCTTTGATGGGTATGGATGACAAAGGGACTCCCGATGTGGACATTTCTTTGAGCTGGCCGTCTTCGTTCTGAAAGAAAACCTCTAAGCCGTCTTTCCCTCCACACACCACATCAGTCTTGCCATCGCCATTCACATCAACCAATGACATTCCAGTGCCATAGAGATCAATATTGCTCAAAGGATTATCAATGGCAAACCTTGTTTGGCCATTCTGTTGCTCGAGGAGCTGAATCTTTCTCGCTGACCATTTCTCTGGCGTAACGCCTTCTGTCAACATGCGAGTGTAGACGTTCGGCAGCAGAAAAAGGTCCAAGTCTCCTAAGTCAAAACGAAGGCCCACAGGGCCGCCCACAGGGCCGCCCAGAGGGCTCATAAGTTTGCCAAAACTCAAAGGCGGTCCCACAACAGTGTGCCATTGTGAACAAACAGGTGGACCAATCTAAAAAGCTGTTGTGAATGAAGCTCAGCATCCGTCGCCATCCCAGTCAAAGACCTGCACTTGCAGCACAAACAGCACTGTCTAAAGTCGCATCAGATTCAACAGCTCTCGTCGAGCTTCCTAGTGTTTGTTGAAGGAACCAATCAAACATCAAACAACCAAAATGGCGCTGCTGGCGTCTGAGGCAAACTTGTGCGGCCACAGAGTGGGAAGTATTTTTGTTCCCAAAATGTTCTTGAAGAGTGGCTTAGGTGGTGGCAGTATCGAGTCTCAAGGCAATTCTTCTTCCAAGAAGTGTGCTTGCTTCGGCTGCCAAGATGTGAGGCGGGAATGGCAGCAATCGTAGTTAAGAAAACATTCTTGTGAGGTAACAAGGCTTTCCACGACTTTTGGGTTTTAACACGAACACATCTAAGCTCATCGAGCCCCTTTCGTTGTCAGAGCAGCAATCTGCTGATTTTGTTTATCTATTATAACTCCAACAGTGGCACAAATGACCTGGCAAACCTATCAAACACCACATTGAGAGATCCACAACAACCATGTTTCTTCTTTGGAGATTGCTGTGCCTTCGGCATCAACTTGGAGGACTTGAGAGAGTCGAGGTTGGAATGGTTCGCTGCGACCAGGAGGCCATTGCGCTGCTCGTAGTACCTCAACCCTTTGATTTGCCCTGCCAGAAGATCGAGGTCTCCATCCCCGTCCTGAGTTGTGCGTGACTATCTCAAGTTTCTGGTCAGCTTTAAAATTATGCATTTGAGAGTGGGCTGGGTTCCACACAAGCTTCACAAGAGGCTATGAATGAACATGCCTCCACGGGGATGTACAAAGATTGTCTCCCCTCTATTCGTGAACCCTGAATAAAGGTAATCTTGGTCGAAGAGCAGAGTTTTGGGCTTAAATTACATTGTATTGACCAATAAAAAAGCGACAAAACAAGCAAATAGGTCCCCCCATAAACTTACCTCTATTAATCCCTCTGTTCTTCGTTTAAAATAGCAATAGCTAAAGTAATTCAAACAGCAGCGTCCCAATCGCCAGCACTTAGTTGGATTCCGAAGGCCAGCTCTCCCTTGATGCCAGAGAAAGGGTTTGCATAGCCCTTTTGCTCCACAAGGCTTCCATCCGACTGTCTCTTGAAGAACCTGTGGACACAGGAAGATTGAACTCTCTTTCGTTTTTGTGAGTTTTTGGCCTGCCTTTACTCAATCAAGTATGCACCTACTTAGTTAAGTAAGGAAGTTCCGAGCTACTTAAGCTACTACATATGGACGCAAGATAGCTCACGCTCGCACTAATGATTTGGTTCCTCGGTTTTCAGCGAAACTAAGTTAAACCGCCATAATTCACCTAGCTGTGCTGATGGTCAAAGGAGGCTTTGATGAGAAAACTCTGAGTTAAAAGTTGCAGCTGAGAGTCGTACATGATTGGACACATTGAGTGAATGAGTGCGCGAATAGGTAAGGGGGTGAAAGGGCAAAATTTGGTTCAAGCGGAGGATGCAGTGACGTGTGCATGGTTTGTGCGGTTTTCTGCTGCAACAGTCAACGCGCAATTGAGTTTGTGCATCATTGGATCAGAATTCACGTGAGTTGTGCATGAGTGGCATTAATTAAACCGATTAAGTGTGAATGTGTTTATGCCTCGATGCCATCGATGCGCGATGCGCAACATCAAAGAAGACTCAAACACTGCCGACCCGAAGAAAGTCAAGGGACCGTGCTTTAGTCAAGGGCATGCAGTCGGACGAACTTGTACAGTGCACAGTGAGATGCTTGCCTTTGTTGACGACAACATCTATAGCCATGTTTTGCTC